GACAAAGGCGATTGGACGTTGATTGAATCAATCGAGCGCGTTCTGCAACCGATCGCACAAGCAACGGAATTGATCAGCGGCAGAAAATACTGTACCATCGGAGTTAGCTTCTTCTCTCTTGTTCAGATTCGGGAATTTCTCGAGGATGTTAAATCCTCCAGTTCGAAGGATTCGAGAATTTCATCTCGTTTAAAACAACTTCTATTATTCTACATGGAACAGTACTTCGAGAAGGGCATGGACCAGTGGCATTTGATTAAAGTAAGACATTGTTGAACGCTGATTGATTTGGTCACGTTCTCTCCATTCTCAGACGCATGCCTATTTCGATCCATTGGGCTTCGGTGTGCTCAGTCGGTTGGAAAGGAGACTAGTCGAGCGTGACCTAACCGAGTTACACGAGCAAATCAGCAGCGATATATCCGACACACTGGAAGACGTAAGGATGGACTCATCACTACCAATGGCTGATCGAACAGTGATGCAGCCGGAAAAGTCATGCATGGCGAAATTTTTAAGCTCAATCGAGAGGAACAACATGTCCTCGTCGTCGAATAAAGGATCACGCACAAAGAATACCTTCAGCGAGGAACTCACTATTTACCGCTCGTTGGCCCAGAAACAATACAATGACATTGTCAATTGCGAGAAAAACGCCGACGCAGTAAGAGAGACTTCGATTCCGTAGATGGTCTATTCATTCTTTTGCTATCTAGTTAGAGTTTTGGCGTGTACATCGAGCTCAATTGAAGATATTGTCGGCAATGGCCATTCGATTTCTCGCCACACCCGCAACTTCTGTTCCTTCGGAGAGTGCGTTCAGCACTGCATCGTATCTATTGCGCAAACAGCGATCACGTCTCAGTCCGATGAACCTATCACACTCGGTTTTTCTCAAAGACAAGATGGATGAAAGTTGAAAAGATTATTCTTGAACAGCTCAAGACGCGATAGAAAGTGACGATCGGTCATCGCGGCTATACCTTTTTATCGATTTTTAAAATTGTTTTTGGTAACTTTTATTGTGATAACTTTGCTGTGTCGATCAATTCGATACCTTTTCAAACACACAGTAGAGACAAAAAATGATCAGCACGTCAGCTAACTGCAGTTGATTACGGAGAAATTCGCATTCGTACAAAAAGAATGCATCTCTGTATTTATTGCAAACCGACCGACTAATATATGGCTGTAGTCCTTCGTACGCTACGTACCGTGACCATGTTATGAGTTCGATTGGCGCATTCCAAATGAAGAACACATGATGAAATCGTCGGTGTCCACTTCGCATATGCCTGTCTGCAATGGATTCCGTATTATTCGTTCCTTGGAAGCTTCATTTGTATCGCCATCATATCTTTGTAAGAACGCAATGAACATCTGTTTCAATCAATACTTCAATACCAGTACCAAGATCTTCAATACCAATGGCACCAATACATCAATACTCATCAATACCAATACTACCAATACTTCAATACCATCAATGCCAATGCCGCCAATACTTCAATACCATCAATACCAATGCCGCCAATACTTCAATAACAACGATACCAGTACTACCAATACATCAATACTCATCAAAGCCTTCAATACCAATTCCCGAGAGTCTTGGTATTGCGACATGCCTAGTCATCGTCGTCCCTATCTTCGTTCGAATCAGAGAGCTCAGGAAGTATGGCTGCATCGGTGACAAAGTTTAGAAAGGATGAGTATAGCTACCACGACAATGCGAATGTTTCCACTCTGTCTCTGCTGGAAGATGACATTAAAATAGATAAATCTGTTCATATCACTACTCTGTGCTGGGAAATGGGTTGAATGAATCTGAATGGGGAAATATTCTCAATTAAGACGTGTTTGGAGTCGAAAAGGATTATTTATTGTTTGGAAAGAAGTCATACCTATAGAAAGCAATGGATTGGGTCCAGTGATACCATTTCTTCTAGAGTTTCTTTGTGTTTCATAGCAGTGTTGTTCTGATCCATTGTTGGTTCACTGTTCTCAAGGAATGTACAAAGTTGAATTTGAGGTTTTGTAGTAGTTCACATTGAGCACGTTGAATCATTGCTGTGCGTCGATGTTCGATGGCGGTGAGGATATGATGGTCACATTCTGATGATTGACTTGGGTTTGTGTTCTTGAACATTCTCGTTTTTCGATGTGCTGCGTTCAGAGCATGAGTGTCGGCTCTTTTTTCGGCAATATACTTGGTTCGTCGTAGGAATTGATGGAAATAAAATTCAGATATTGTCGAGTCGCTTTCATTGGCTGACAATTGAAGTGATGCTGTTGGTTGCTTCTGATCGAGAATAAGTGTCGTGAATATCTGCTTAATCTTGATCAATGGGAGATCTGGAAAAATGTGACAATCGGTTGAGATCGATGATTTGTAATGTAACCAATTTTGGAGAATGGCAATTTCATATCGAAGCTTGTGTTCATCATGGGTTGCTTTCCAAATAAATTTTGCTGTACGAATTTGAAGATGGTCAGTTTTCCCGTAGGTTAGCTTTCAATTGAAGATAGGTTGACACGTGCCTGTGTTTGGCTCGGTTTTAGACCATAGAATGCTTGGATACATTGGTGATCTTTGGCATCGAATTGGAGCATAGCTTTTCGTCTTTCGAACTCGACACGCAATGAATATTGATTCTTATCAACAAGATCAGTAACGATGTTTTTGATAGTATTCAAATCAGAGAGTGGAATGGTTGCTTGTGTCATATGTTGATCGATATCACTTTGAATTTGTTTTAGTTGTCTTTGAAATTTCTTGCGACGTTGTTCGATGATATGTTTTGAACGACCACAGGCATAACACATCGAATTGTCTCTCGCCATTCTTTTCGACACCCGTCCAGTCCGAATACCTTCTGTGATACCTAGCTGGTAATAGTAAACCCATTGTTCATCTTGTAAGTTAGATGCCAGTAGAAGCATTGGCGTAGTGCACTGAATATAGTGGAGGTTGATCTGTATCGAACGAAAAGAAAAGAACGTGAGAGTTCTGCCTGCATAACTGTTGAATTCAATCGACATCTCTGCTCCGCCTTGAACATTCTGTTGTGGATTGAATGACGAAGCCAAAAGTTTGGTGTTGCCATCCTTGGCGGCACAATGGAGAAAGCAAGGTTGGACGGTTTCCGTCACATGCAAAAGGGAAAATCCGGCTCTCATCCCAGCTCGTCACTTTTCTGAAGAAGAAATATTCCGTAGCAATGATGTTCCCTGTTGGATCGAACGCGGCCGAAGATGCTTATATGTGCAACAGCTGTCACGAATTCGAGATGGATCATTTTCAAACTTCTCGAGATGGCCAGCAGTAGTGGGATGATGAAATGGGAGATAGTGACAGCGGGTCAGGCCTGCATCGACGACTGCGATCCTCAACTAGCTCACTCACTGTTCGAAATTATTCCGAGATAGCTGGGCGAGTTCGCTCTTCTGAGCTCGAAGAATCTGATGCTTCCAGCGAGGATGAATCACCCATGTAAAAATCTTCCAAGTTTTAACGGTTTAACGAAAAAAGATGTTACCTTTTTGATCATAGAAACGCGTTAAAAATGAACTTTTTAACGAGTGTTGACGCATTTTTCCTCGTTAGCAACAGAAAACGAAGAAAAAGACGTGAAATTTCGTTATAAAGCTCATTTTTAACGCGTTTCTATGATCAAAAAGGTAACATCGTTTTTCGTTAAATCGTTAAAACTTGGAAGATTTTTACATGGGCAGCCACGTCGCACGAGCGGCTCTCAGCAAAGGAAATTCTCAACAAGGTATTCCACTTGTTACGAATCGAAGCAATCGCTGACGTGTGAGTGATGTCCTAGTATTGAATGGATGGATATAATTGCGTCTTGTGTTCCTTTCTCGATTTAGGCGTCACACTGATGCCTTGTGCAACAAAGTCAATCAAGCATGCGTGATGCTCAAGAATCTGTCTGAGGCTCTTCTGAAAAATAAAGGTCGAACGGCGATGAACGAAACAACAGAGGACGACGACGACGACGACGACGACGGGATCTTGTCACTTAATCTCGCTGAAAAGGACGAGTTGATTAGTGGCCTACAGCAGCTATACGACTCAAGCGATAAAGCAGAGCAAGTGCGTCTACTCACAATTGCACCTTACAACTGGGGACGCCAGAAGGTGCAAAGATTTTTCAACACACCTGAGCGACAAGCTCGTCGTTCACGTGAACTTCGGGTATCAGGTGGTTTTCTCGCCCAACCCGAAGATCTCCGTGGTAACAAACCATTAGATGTAGTTACCGCTCAGGCCGTTATCGATTTCTTTGAACAGGATTCAATCAGCCGAGTTTCACCTAAGAAGGCGGACGTTATATTGGTGAAGAAACAACCTGTTGCTAAGCGTTTCATGCTGTTAACTATCGGTGAAGCCTTTGAAAAATTCAAGAGTGATTTCTCACAATATGAGATAGGCAGATCGCAGTTCTATGCGCTAAGACCACGTCATGTGAAGCCGATGTCCCTACATGACACCTGCTGTTGCGTGTATCATGAAAATTTCGTCCTAGTTCTCAAAGTAAGCAAGGAAATCTCGCTTGCTTCTCGACTTATCATGTTATTGCTCCTACAGGCTTGGAATCACCTCGACGATGGACAACTCGACAGGCAGACTTTATTCGATCAGATTCTGTGCTCGCCAGCAGCTGATGCATGCTATTACAGAGATTTCAGAACCTGCGGAAATCAATACCCATCGGATTACCTGTTGCCTAATTTTCATGGCGACACAGATGAAGACACACAATGGTCTCTTTGGAAGCGCACAGACAATCGTGTAGCATTGCAACAGATGAAGGGAAGCGTGAGTCTACTCCTCGATGAGATCGATGATCAATGGAATAGTTATGTCACTCATCATCACTGTATGAAAACGCAACAATTATACATCAGTGAGATCAAGAAGGTAAAACGTGATTGTTTCTACCTGCATATTGTTTCCCTTCTTCGGCTACTAGGCGTCCGACCCGAATGCGACTGTAGTTGTGCAGATGGACTTTGCGCAAAATTTTGCATTGATATCGCAGCGCGAGGTACAGTCAGCACACTTCGACAAACCACAGGCGACTATTTTTACGGTCCTTGTGGTAATGGGGGCAGCGCAGAAGAACTTCGCAATAATAAGCGATTATCTCGAGCATGTAATAACGAACTCATCACAGAATTTCCCAAGAAATAAATGACTTCTTCAATTTAGGGCACACAATTTGTGTATTTTGCTCAGCGCTTCCTGGTATCTAGGATACAGGAGTTAGCACCCAATGTTCAGTTGATCAATTACGTTACCGATGGTGGACCCTCACACTTCAAGAATCGACAGAGCATTCTCAATCTGACGTTCCATGATGTCGACTTCGGAGTACCTGCAGTATGGTCGTTCAGCGCAACGTCACATGGAAAAGGTCCAGTAGACGGACTGGGAGCAGCTCTGAAATCGACCGCAACTCGATATTTACTTCGTCATGGCCCAACCGAAGCATTCAAGAGTGCCAGAGAATTCTATGAATTCTCCAAGCAGCGACAAGACTCAACTGGAAATCCAATCGAACTACAGTATGTCAGATCAGAAGAGATAGTGAATCTGCATCGTACGAAGAACGCACAAAGATGGTCAAGTGTCAATGGTACATGGTCTGCATGATTCCGTTCCTATCGTTTTTAATTTTTTCCTTACAGCTATCCATGGTATTCGTTCATTCCACCACTTCGTGCCGCACGGCTTTCGAAATATTCAATGTCGCCGTACATGGGAATCGACGATCTGCCAAAACTACGATCTGTGACGTGCATTCAATGGGATGCTCCACGTCATTCTTCAGTACTTGCTCGGAAGAATAGATACAGAAGTTACTTGCTTTCAGAGAAGCGCATACGCCTAGTTTACTTTTCCCTATGAACTTCGCACCTTTACACTGTTACTCGTTAGGAAAAGCTGAATGAACGTGAATCTAGTCACTCAATAAGAACCTTGAGATTCTTTTTATTGAGCATGCATATGACCATAGGTGGCTATCAGTCTTAGTCCATGACCCTGTGTACCCGTACCTAGAGGAGTGCATCAATCGAAGCGTTTGATTGAACTAGCTCTAGGCTTCCGAAAGCGACGAATGAACCTAAGGCGATTTACTAGTTCCCATGAAGGAGAACTTCAACAGTCGTCCCACATCATGTGGCGGTATCGAGGATAAACGAATGCAAGACTCGGTCGAGTATTGATATTTTAACCGCATGATTATGACTCATGACCGTTTTCACGACGGAGTCGTCAGGAGAATCTTCTCTCCTTGCGTCGACATCGATGTGGACTGCTGTTTCAGAACGCTAGGTACAGTTGCTCTAATGAAATCCTGGATTAGAGAGAGAGATTTACGGTCAAAAACGGCCACAACACGTTTTTTCGGTTTCTTTGTCGCGGATGTAACTAGCGAAGAAATCGGAAGACGTCAGCAGATAGAGCAAGCGACGCTCTACAAAACGTAGAAGAACAGTTAGTCCCCGAATCGGGAAGAGGATTTCTATTGAGCGAGAAAGGTTCTCGCTAGGTCATTCGATGGTCCTCCATAAAAAAAAAATTTCTTTCGCCAAAAATGATGCGATGAGCATGGGAGGTGATAGAGCGAGAGACGGGCTATCAGAATATATATAATACCATATGTTTATCTCTTGGAATGATAGAGAAAAGGGCTTCCGACGGAAAAAAATGCATGTTTTTCATGCATGCATTTTTGCGTCTCTTATCTCCGTATTTTAATTATGCTGACCCAGGCGAACGTGGCAGAAGAAAACGGTAAGATACAAAAATGATCAGCTGACTCTGCTCTACAAACCCTGAAAGTTTCAGGCGATTCTGAGGTGGTCGTGTATGGAGTGGTACGTTTCCCATGGATATACCCAATCAGCCCTATATGTATAATTAGAGGGGGAAATATTGAATTTTCTTATCGTAAAGATATGTATGGCGCACCCGGTATACAATTTATTTAAAGAGTTCATTCAGGAGGAAAAGCAGAATAAGGAAAAAACATTTTCCCCACTTCTGGAAGCGGTCTTCCTGGAGACGAAGATCAAACACGAAGAGCAAACACGAAGAAGGTAAAGATTTGCAGTTTTTTCCTTTTTTCCTAGTTAAAAACGTTGAGTTTCAAGTGAGAGTGAAAAACCGAGTTAGCTGCGATCCTATTCCATAATAGAAAATTGAGCAAAGCTAACATCTTTAAGAGATTTTCCAACGTGCTTTATCAAGATTTACTCGTTATTATCTCGCAGATAAAACTTTCTTTCATCTACGGCTCGAGTGTGTTCCTCTGTTTCTCTGTAAAATTTTGTGAGTCTCTAAGAACTAATACCAACTAGTCCTATTCTACCACCTATCATAATGTAAAAACCGCTTCGTTGTTTCATCACATTCACTGCTTTCCACTAAGCATGTGGTTCTATCTCGAATTCTCTTTAGTTTTTCGAAATACGATTTCTACTGCATTTGTAGTGGAGATGGAAGAGATTGAGTGTGAACTTCTGCAGTCAATGTCGTTCGATAAATCAGTCTTAGAAGAGGGACAACGTAAAGAGATTGTGTTTTAATTTATTATTTGTACGGTATTCTAAATGTCTGCTTATCCTTGATTGATCTGTCCATGAATATCCCTGGTAAAACTTTAAGCGAGAGTAAGCAGCTTGAACTTAGCTTACGAAGAGAAATATTTTCCAATACGTAGTTGCAATCAGAAACTAAGAGACTGTTATATTCTTCTCTGTTAAGAAAGATGGCCGCAAAACAAGAGCAACGGATGTTTAATGAAGTGCTGGAGTGTCCGTTAACCCGTGAGCGCTTCGTTGATCCTGTCATTGCTGATGATGGGCATACTTACGAACGATCGGCTATTATTCAATGGTTGACGGGAGCGTGTACTAGTCCAATGACGCGGCAGCCAATATCACTTGACTCATTACGTCCGAATTACCTAGTGAAACAAATCCTAGAGATAGAACAACAATCGGCAAGACAAAATTACAAATTCAAACTGAATGTCGACGTGAAAAAGAAAGGAAATAGACCCTTGTTTCAAAATGGTGGTAAATTTCTGTACGAAGCGCAGTGGTTAAACAATCTGCAAGGACCCGACATCGTTCTCTTGCAAATTCGCGGTGCACGGGCTCTGAAAGAAGCATCATTCTACGTTCAACTGAGTCGACATCGAAACATTCTGCGCACATTCGGTTTTGTCGAAGCCAACGATGAGCAAAGCGTTGGAGTAATGTTGCTTCAAGAATATGCACCCATGGGAGATCTCGCCGAAACGCTAATAAACGAACCACTGGTACCAAGCGATCAGCGAGTTTTCTACGAAATATTTCTTCAAATCGCTGATGCCATGAGCTATCTGGCCCAGAAGCATATTGTTCATGGCGATCTAGCTTGCCGAAATATTCTTGTGTTTCAGTTTGATCCGAATGATTCCAATCTGAATCTTGTCAAATTGACTGACTTCGGATTGACACGGGAGAGTGCACTTTATCAGACGAATAGCAATGCAACATCAACTGTGTGTAATTTTCCTCTTCGATGGAGTGCGCCGGAGATACTTCGGAAACCAAACAGCCGGGAATCATACACAGAAAAGTCTGACATGTTTTCAATGGGCGTTCTTATGTGGGAGGCTGTATCGAAGGGAGCGCTTCCTTGGGATGAATTGGAAGACGATCGAATAAGAACGAAAGTATTGGCTGGTGAGCAATTGAAACGACCGTCGACGCGCGTGTGTACCAATGCTCTATGGTCAATCATTTCGAAGTGCATGACTCACCAATCAGATTACAGGCCAACCTTCACCGAACTCCAGTCAGAGATTTCACATTTATTGCCGGATAGACCATCATCGAATATCAGACTTACAAACCTATATTTGCAATCAATACGACCGAGCACGGCTTCATCCATGCATCGGTAACACTATATAGATTTGTTTAAGTACATAATGATGATTAATCTCTTTCTTAGAGAAATACATACGTCTACTACGATTCCGATCGCCTGTGGTTATTGTTCAACGACTTGCACACCGAGTAATCTGTCAGAGCATCGGGTTCGTTTTCGATAGCCGAATATTGGAGACAGCATACTTTTCTGCCATTCCATACACTATAGAGAACTTGTCAAGCAAACCCAGATAATCGACTCTCTTCTGCACGTACTGCTAGCACAACACCGCAGCGTATAAGTAAGTTTATGATAAATATAAGAATAAAGCAGTAAACGGCTGCGTGTTGAAAACTTCATGTAAAGATTTTAAGTAAGGTTCCTATTATTTAAATTCAAAACCCGATACATGCAACTCGATTATCAACTATAATTCTTTTCTCGCCTGACAGCAACTTTGAGTACAGATGGGAACAAAATTTCACTTATACACTTTCCGATTAGTTATATTTGCTTTTAGCAAGAACATCGTATCATCTCAATCGGAGTAAAATGTTTAGAATATTCTTCCTTGACATATGAATCCCTTTTCCTGGTTGAGAGCGATAGTAGCGAAGTCCTACGAGATCAGAGTGTGAAATACCATAGAGCTGCTCCAACTGCACATGAATACAGCTGTTACTGTACATCGATCATGCTCTGTGACAAGGTCAAGAGGAATTTCGAAGAATACTCCAACCTTTAAGCGACTTTCTGATTCAAAGTGTTGGCCAGAGACATTGTCATAAGCCTGATATCTTCTCGACAAATGTGGTGTAAGTCAGACGTACGAGACTCGATTGTATTTTTAAATAATTCGAAGAAGAAATAGACTACCGACGAACGGTTTTCCCTATTTGATGAAGCACAAACTGGACAGACGTCTGTCTGTGGTTCAAACGATTTCTGAGAATGCTCCAACTCCATATCATGCGCATTGATCGCCAAATCCAAAGACAGTCACTCGATAGAAAAACTTAAGTGATTTCAATCTCTGTAAGACAGAGCTGTAAACATTTCTCTGAAGACACGAAAAACTATCTGGTATCTTTCGATCGTACCAAAATAGAAATTCTAACCGATTGCCTACGTTGAACTAGCTTTGTTAATCAACTATGTTTGCGATGTGCACCAGCAATATTAGTTTCAGAAGATAGCATTTTGGATGTATCGCTAGTTTCAGAGGCCAGTTCCAAGTGTAACACGCATCGATTAATGCGAAGACATCACGTCTAGATAGGAATCGGGGTAGCCAGTAGTATTATCAGGTACGAGATGCGTATCGTTCGAGTCAAGAAGATTGAACTACGATAGCAGCTTCCCAAGTCCGTATCTTTGAATATTCATCTAATTTTGACAGTTTCACCACGTGTGCCAACATCGACGCCCACTGCTGCAACTCCGGCAAGATGGTCACCGCCGTCAAACATTGTTCTCCGTGATCCGCGCAATGAAAAAATGATCGCCAAATGTAAAGGCAGTTCCATTTCGTTAGGATCACGTGGTTTGGTTGACAACGACTTGAAAATCATTATCGAATACGGGATGACTAATTCAAAATGCACTATACTCGACTTGAGTGAAAATAATATTACGTCAGCCGGTGCCACCTTGATTGCGTCGGCGTTCGAATTTGCACCAAATCTCCGTAGATTGAACCTTTCTAAAAATATCATCGGAGACGCCGGCGCACACGCTATTGCAGTAGCACTCGGTAATACTAATCTTACTCACCTGATACTCGACGGCACTTGTATAAAGAACAAAGGCGCTGTGGATCTTGCCGCAAATCTGTGCCGAAATCGAACATTGACTCATCTAATGGTGACAGGCAATCTTATTACAGGCTCTGCCGTTGACCGCTTGCAAACGGCTGCTGCGCATCATCCCAGTCTCAGGCACGTGTTTATCGAAGAATGGTCTTATTCATATTCTTAGCGTTGGTGTGTCTAATCAGTATATTTCGCACTAGATTTCAATAACATAACGTTTGAGCCGAAAGTTTCCGGACAAAAGCGAAATGGTTTTTTCTCTACCACTCTAATAGCTTTATTCCCCAATTTTTTTGTGATAAATGCAGTGACCTGAGATGAACGAAATTCCAGGTTCATAAGATCGAGAATGACCCTCAGTCTTCAATTCTTCTGAGCTTTCTACCAACGTAATTCATCATACTGTGAACAGCTTTCGAATCGGCTTTTTCAACTTTCGTTTGATTCAGTCCACCAAATGCTGCTGATTTCTAGCTTCTTAGCCTCCACGCGTGCGAATTGCCAGTCGATATGGACCGAAATTCTCAATCGGTCTCGCCTGGAGCACATTTGGTGGGTTGATCGACTTCGACACGAATGATATTTTGTCATCATAGAGCCATTGGATCGTGTTTTGGGCATAGTGGCAAGTAATCTATGCATGCATCGAACCCGAATGTTCGAGTTCGCTGAGTTCGCGCTCGGGTTCAGTTCGGGATCGTTTTCACTCTACCCAAGTCAAGTAAATGCACATTTGATTCAAGGGCCTTCAATCATCTGATGTTCCACGGATTACGTCGATATACCCAAGGGGGAAAAAGCAGACTCCGGATCCGTCATGGAAATTGTTAGACTTATCAACAACAGGAAAGATATGCATGATATTCGAGAACAACATCTAGCATAGAAGAAACAACTGGAGTATTGTTCGGAGTCTCGGAGTACGGCGCGGCGTATGGGAGTACCACCGGAGTATCGGGGTGTTCTTTGGAGTACCGGAATACGTGAAGACATAACTAATCGCATGAATATCACACTACCGAAGATTGATTTGTGTCATCCACTTTGTTGCTAACATGCTCTGTGCAGTTGGTGACCATCCATGAAGCCCTGGACAAGGCGAATCTAACAGTTCTATCTATGTTGACATGTTCTATCTATTTCAAATGAACGAAAACGACATTTTCTTCCTTTCCTATCGAAACGGATGAACGAAAAAAGAAACAGACGATGAACAACGTGGTTCGTGGCTTCATATGTGTCTCTTCCTTGTTGCTGACGAGACACATTTACATTCACGCCTTCGCTCTCTGTTTTTACCCATTTTCATTGTCGTCCCTGCTATGGCCTCTCTGAACAAGAAACGATCTCGATCTCGATCTCTAGCTCTCGATGTTTCCATCCTGCCAACGAATATCCTCAGTCTGAAAGGAGATGCATTCTATTCACTTGTCAGAGAACTCACATCTGAAGATGCCGAAGAGCTGCTGAAAATGCAACGAATTTCAAGTGTTCGCTGCTTTCACAACACCAATCCTCTAACTCTCTTCGATCTCCATACTGATGATCCATCGATCATTCGACTACAACATCGTCTCTCGTTGAAGTCCACAAACAATAAAAACATCGCTCTTGCTGGCATCGGTGGTGATTGTCGTTACCTCACGCAGTTATTCGAAACACTGTTTGTGAAGAATAAGAAGAGAAGGATCGAAGTTTTCAGCTCTATGGCTAACACTCTCCTTTCTCAACAGAGTCCCACAACAACGACGATTGCATTGTCTACTCCTTGTCCTTTTTAACAAAGGTAAGATGCCTATCCATTGTGGAACAACGCGCTCATCTCAAGCAACAAATCGAGTTCTGGTGGGAGAAGTATCGAAGTGAAAATCGGCTCGAAAGCTATGAAATTTCAGAACCCGATGACTACGCATTGATACTTACCAATGATTCGGCAAGCGTGAAGTGTTCATGCAAAGTGAGAATCAATCTTTCGATGCTCAAAGAACGAGTCCACTACCAGCTGAGCAATTTTTATAAACACTTGACTCAGAATGATCACTGTATCGTTATCAAGCGGAAGTCGACGGCGTCTGAGTCCGAAGATGACGATGATTCGTTGTCCTCATGTTCATCATCCGATCCTTCAACACCACCGCGTGCATCTCGTTCGATGATGACCACGAAGAGCGATCAACATCATCAAGGAATATCGAAAAGTTCTTACCATTCAGTTTCAAAATTGAAACGAAATTAATTAGACCGGTAGGACAAAGAAATTCATAATGAGAGAGAATGATAGAAACAAACTGATTTAGATCGAGTTCTGCTTCTCGGCATTGGCTTCATCTCCTGACAAGACTGGCTTTTATCTAGCGAAGTGTCTTAGAAATCAAATGAATCTGTTGTCGTTTATTTCCTGCTCCACTCTTTCATTCACTCATGGATCTGTATTTTTGTTTGTTTGTGAAATATTTTAAACGAATAGCTCAACGAGTAGATAATGTTTCGAAAACAATAAAGAGAATCGAATTCACGGATGGATCTTGCTTATTCTGAGGTGGAATACAAAACCCTTTTCAAAGATTCAGATTATCGCTTCCACATTACGTTTAGATATCAATAAGATCAACGTAGAGAACATCTTCCTAGCCAATCGTATACTGTTCAATTACTTAGGCTGCCCCTAGCTTCGCACATTACCATGACCACCTCTGATGTCTCTCTTCCATCAGACGTATTTCTACTGAAGGGTGATCGCTTCTATGTATACCTTCCTCGAGTCGACATTCAATGTTGAAATAAAAGAAATTGCTCGCCTCCAGGGCTTCTCATCCGCCTATTCTCTCCTGTACTCTGATCAGCACCTTCTCGACTTCGTTCAGTTGGATTCCAAAGACCCGAATCTCATCGCTATCAAGCAAATGGCGGCGTTCTACTTGACAAATGGCACTTGGACGATTAAGCCTGGTATTCAGTATGAAGTCGATTCTCTGATGCTAGCTCTTCGTCAGACCCAGCACGCAGAAACAGCAGCTGTACCTGACGGCGCTATGCTCGTGTCTGCCGATATCCTCAGTAGCTTTCCATGGCTCAAAGCGCTTATCCTCCTCTGTCAGAATTCGATATTGAGTAAGGGCCGAAGCGACTTACTCTTTCTATCATCATTCATCGAAAACGTGGCGAATAATCTTACGAAATCATCGAATCACAACCGGTATTCGAACCTAATAAAAGAGTTTGCATTTATACTCTGAATTCTGGGTGGAAGACAAGCGTACGAATTCATCCGATTTAATCTTCCTGGTGGCCTACCATCGTTACAGAAACTATCGTCTCTCTTCAACGAAGAGAGAAAACAACTTGTTGAGGGTGAATTTCGGTTTGACTCGATGAAAGACCACTTGAAATCTATGGATGTTAGCTATGCGTTTGTGGCGGAAGATTGTACAGGGCAGTACAGAAGGTATGCTACGATCGGCAATCAAATCCTTTCGTTGGCTTCTGTGCCTCACTTCAGAATGATGGCTTCCCAAGAATATTATCCTTCGAAATCGAATCCTTCTACGAGTTAGAGAAGACGTTTGAAACTAAATCTCTTTCGTCTCTGCTCAATGTTCATGCAATTCAACCGATTGCATGTCACGGACAGCACTCATCACCATTTCTTCTAGCCGCATACGGATCAAATAATAAATTCAATACATATCATGTAATAAGTCGATGGCTGAGGATTTTCGATGAATCCCTTCAACGTGGTATTCGACTGGTGGGCTTCTCGACTGACTGCGATGCGAGATACTTACGCGCGATGCGTCTTGCTACGAGTTTATTTACATCCCTTCCAAACTTCGATCTGCGTCAGCGTCCCAACGTTTTCAATGTTACTCTACTCAGCAACTGGAGTTGGTTCTTTCTCCACCCTACACAACTATTTGTTGCCTTTCAGGTAAAACTACCGATGAGCGGTTAATCTTCGAGGAAATCACGAGCAAAAGGAGAACCAATGTATTGATATAAGGCGCAGGAGTTTATCTGCTTTCTTTGTTGCCAGAAAGAAGAGGAGAACTCTTCCGCACTTTCGATCGGAGTAGATGCTGTTCGTTTTCATCTTAAGGATCCCATTCATTTGGCGACAAAGATCAGGAACAGAATGCTTTCTGCGACAGCGACTATGCTGATGGGTAATCAGCTTGTATCGATCGATGTTTTACGCAGAGTATTATCCTCATCGTCCAAATTACTTCACGGTTTAGTGTCGTCTGATTTAAATCGGCGAGATCATCAGAATTACTCTTCCTGTTGGAGGATAAGTCGTGACGAGATCTTTCGAGGACTCCAGACAATCGAAGACTCAAATGCTACTGCGATATAACGGGTGGCCCATAAAGAATGAGGGTCTCTGTATTTTTCGAATATCTCTGTCAATTTTCATTCGTTTAACCCGATCTTTTTTTTGAACGAATCACCGTTCAATTCTCCACTAGAATGGGTATTTTCACTGAAGTTCTAATAAACTGATTTCATTCGGCAAGATGAAAAGTAAAGAGATGCAGAACCTCGTACTTTCAAAATACAACAATAGTGACCGACCCACGAAGATCTTTCGCGACCTAAACGGTGTCATCAGTCTTGCGACAATTGAGCGGTGGTGCAAAATGATCCAGACAGATGGCTCTATCAACCTGCGTAAATCTCCCGGTCGCGCAAGAACCATTCGAACAAAGGCGGCCATTCAAAAGGTCAAAGTGAGAGTTAATCGAGGAAAGAAAGTGTCTTCGCGGAAACTCGCTCGTGAATTGGGTATTTCTCGAACTAGCGTTCAAAGAGTACTCCGTGATGATCTAGGACTTCGAGCCTACAAAGTGCAGATCGAACCATTGCTCACTGATGAGCACAAAGAAAAAAGAATCCGATTTGTCAATTGGATACGGACGAATTTTCGCAAAGAAGACACGATGAAAATTCTGTTTTCTGACGAGAAAATGTTCGACATTGACGGAGTGTATAACTCTCAAAATGAAAGGATATGGGCGGCAGATCGTGCCGAAGCCAATACCAGAGGTGGTATCACGCAGAGACGTAAATTTCTGCAAAAGGTTATGGTTTGGCTCGCAGTTTGTTGCAAAGGAGTCTCTCCTCTGGTCCGATCACGATCGGTATATCAAGAAAGTGCTGCCAATTGCTCTGAAATATGGCAGCAAAGTCTTTGGAAACGACTGGACTTTTCAACAGGATGAAGCAACGCCGCACACGCATGAGAAATCACAAGCATGGTGCGCTGAGCGCTTTCCATCATTTATCGTCAAGGGTCGATGGCCTCCAAATAGTCCTGATCTCAACCCTTTGGACTACTGCGTGTGGAACGAATTTGTGCAAGCGATCAACTGGGGTCGAGTGACATCTAAAGCGACACTCATACTCGAACTGAAACGTAGCGTTCGAAAAATACTGAGACTCTCATTCTTTATGAGCCACCCGTTAGTGTCAAAACTATCAATACCAATGCCCGCGAGTCTTGGTATAGCGAAATGTCTAGTGATAGGTACATATGAATAGAGAATTACCTGCAAGTTTCAGCTAAAACGGATGTCCGATTGATTTAACAGCGATAGTCGTGGCTTACGTAAAATGCCTCCTATGTGTGCAATGATCGATATGACCAGAACCAATCGTGTAAAGTTTGAAGGTGACATTCTGATGGACAGACAATGTGATCGAATACTTCGACAGCCAAACAGCAAGTCCATCGAATAAACAGTTAGACACTATGGCAATATTTTTCGCACAATTCCTGTATATTCATGTGCTTACTGGTTTGTTGTATTCTTAATCGTTACTCGATAGTGCACAATGAGATCTGGTATATTAAACTGTAGCATACATGTATCTTTATCCACAACACGACACTGACATCTTTCGTTTTTCTTTCGGTATTCCTCTCTTTACCTTAACGATTTCAAAACAAAAGACAAGGAAAAAACACGGAACTTTCTTCGATTCACATAGCTGCAGACAACATAAATAATTTTATAAACTGAGAACTGAAAGGCTCTTACATTTCATAAAATGCTGTATCCTTTCTTGGACAAAATATCAAATATGTCCGAGAGAGAAGAAAAATTCGACAAAGCTTCGGAACCGATTCTGACCTTCAAAAACCGCAAGTCTAGTCAAGGCGTTATCGTCCAATTATAAAACTTATTTTCCCGCCACAGAACTAACGCCTTACGGTACAAAAAATGGTATGCAACCTATTACTTACAATTCAACGCGCGAAGTGTGTGACACAGATTATAATGATTGTTGTGACTGCAATTTCACAGTATTCACAATGAAGTGGATTTGATTAACGTTGAGGTTGTGGTCATCAATGTTTAAATCGATTCCCTGCAACCTCACCCTCACCGTGCATGGTAACTATTGACAGAAAATAGTTAACAATCGATGTAGTTGGAAAGAGCAGAAGGGCAGGAGACAGATAAACGAGTGTCTCTGACGCATAGTGATGACTGCCGGTATTTTAGATTTTACCATTCTATTTTAGATACTTTTCATGACTACTTTTATACCGTCGAAGAAGAGAAGTCTTTCTGACTCTCCGCCACCATATGCCATGAAGAAGTCATCTGACGAAGTGGTATCCGTTTTTGGTAGATTGAACAAGTTGTCGAGCTATCATATTGTTTGGTACAATGAACTGCATGCAAATCCTTTGGAGTATTATCGTATTTCATCGAAATTTCAACGTGGTGTTGTTGACTATTTGGAATGCTTTCTCAGTATTGAAGAGTGTAAGGAATATATTCGCTCGATGGCAAATGATTGCCGACATGTTATTTTGATTGTTTCTGTCATTGCTTCTTCATTGGCGCAATTAATGAATGATATGAACGTTATTGGCGCTGTAAACTCAATCTATATTCATCGAGAGCAATCCCATGAAAATCCAAACGCAGCAAAAGATATTGATTACTTGAAGAGCCAAGCAAAGGTAAAACACTTCTGACAATATTGCCAGAATCTTTCAGCCGTTTCCGACTTGAAAGTTGAGCCCGTCATAAGTATCTTCTTTCGGTAAAAACAACTTTTCTTGAGTGCAAATATTTTAGATCAAAAGCTTGCATAGTGATCCGAAGGAACTATTCTTCGCAGTTTCACGAGAAGCTCTTGTATTGGGGCGACAAAACTTCGTATCAGTATCAAAAACTGTCTCAACAAGTGTACCCGATATTACGGACAGAAGCGCATGCTTCAGGTCGTGTTCAAAGGATGACTACTTCTATAATTTTCTCGATTCTTTAACTGAGACCGAGGCCGCTCCAGATGGAAAGCAAACTTTCGTGGATGAATGCCGCCGATTGTTCGCAAATACACAGTCAATACTTCGGGTTATCGATGAATTTGATAGGGACTACGTGCCGGAGCGAGCTGTTTATTGGTATACACGTAATGGTTTTATATACGAACTCATAAATCAAGCCTTGCGTCAACACAACAGTGAGACATTGCTTCTGTTGCATTTCTTCATCCGAGACTTGGACCGTCAACTTCTTGATGCCACGAATCGAGTGGAAGATCATGACTGGGAAAAACAAATTCATCTCTACCGAGGTCAACGGATGTCCTTGAATGAAATCGAAGAGATGAAAGCAAGCTACCAACAGGGCTTCTTTTATAGTTTTCTTTCAACAACGACGGATATCAACGTCGCTCGTATGTTCTCTGGAGAAGGGCAAATTATGAAAGAGGAAGCTATTCAGCCCGTTCTTTTTTATTTCGACTGCTCTATGCTAAAACTTTCTAGAGGTGTTACGAACATTCAACATCTAAGCAACAATGACGAAGAGGAAGAGATTCTTTTCTCTCCGCTCTACAGTTTCTCTGTTATCGACGTGAACTATGAGGAGGAGAAGCATGTTTGGAAGATCGAGTGTAGAATGCATGGTGACGAGGGTAATCTATCGTTACTATTACATCAGCGTTTGATTAAGTTGGACATTGCTGCCCGAATACTGACGTCGAGTGCTACCGACAAAGTCCATACTGATTCTGATCAAGCGGTCTGCCAAACATTTATCGAAGGCATGTCCACCTTGCTTAATGAACTGGTCATTCCAGAAGCAAATATTGTAACATTGGATGACGAAACTAAAGTTCCGAAAAATACTAAACATGCGGTTACTGCACTTTTCTCTCTCAAAGGGCTGAAATATTTCAGTCCCGATTCTCTCGTACACACACCAGTCATTCCCAGCGATACGATGGCTGCACTTTGGGATTGTTTAGCAACGATGTGCAAGGACAAAGGTGAATTTCAGCGCGCTTTATATTATTTTGAGAAAGCCGAAGGTTTTATTATCGAAAACGAGTCATTAATTGTTGCCCGCAAGGTAATTGAATGAATAATTATTTGAAAGAACTTTGCCTAAGAATGTAGTAGACGCATTTGAATTCAGCTCCTTGCGCTCTTATGCAGAGTGTATTCGTTTTGCTGATAGTTCTTATCCATAGTGTAATTCAAGGAAGACTGGCGAAAACCAAAAGGAGCGTCGTTTTAGAATAATTAAAAATCTCATACTCTCGCACTGCGCGTCTACTCTGAAGGAAAATCTAATTATCTACGAGTTCACATGTGTTTCTTTCAGGTGAACATGGCTCAAGTCAATAGAATGATGGACCAATATGCTCTAGCCTGGTCTATCTATCGAGATTTGTTGAATGAATGTCTCGACGTGCCAGAAAAGGATGAATACAACGTGTTTTCTGAGATTGCAACTGATATGCCGTATGTGGAGTCTGAAAGTGCGATGGAGGTTTGGTATCCGAATGTGTTCGGTTATTTGGAATATGTTAATGCCCAATGTCGAGAAGCGCCAGCAGATAAATTACTTTTCAAAGATGCTCTTCTCCAAAGATATCGCACGCTCGGCCATGCATACTGGTACCTTGGTCACAACAAAAAACACGCTCTTCTTTGCTACGAACGCTGGAGGGAACTGCTCGAAGAAAATGACGAATCCATTGGCGAGTTCTTCCTGTATTTGGCTCATGTACATTTTATCGATGATTCGATGCGAGCGAAAAGCCTCTATGAACAAGCCATTGTCGAATTATCGATCGTCGAAGAAATGTGGGCCGCAGAACTGGCGATTTGCTATAGCCGCCTAGGCTATTTACAGAAGAGAAAACGCTTCTTTACTCGATCCTTCTATTTACTGATCTATGTGGAAGATCTTCCTACATTGCTACGAAAGCATTTAGAAGAAGCAGGTGAATGCTACCTTTACCTAGCTAAGAGCTACGTCCGAGAGGATTCCACGGCTGAGAAAGCGACTATCCGACAACTCTGTGAACAGGCATTACGACTTTTTTTGAATGTCAAACCACCGACGTCTAACTTTCGAGAAATGCAAGACTGCGCTGAGCTTCTCCTGAATATGCAAGAAAATAATGGTATAAATGTTTCTTAGTCTTGCTACTTTTATGCCTGGTATGCTTTTCTTATAGATGAACCCAGCAGTCATGGAATAATCACTAGGAGCGAGCTATTGCAAAGAACGTATAATCAGACACCAATCACTGAACAACAGCTGAAGCAAATGTTAAAAGAAACTCTGTGTCTTCTTAACGGCAAGAATTGCCAGTTAGAATTGATGATCGAGGAAATAAGTGATGATAATTTAGTTTAGAGAGAAAAAAGAGATAACTGCTGTGACGATCATTTTATTCTGACAGAAAAAGAAAACTGTTCGAGCTTTCGTGTTCTCATCCAGAGCTCATCGTCAGGAACAACGATTGAAAGAGAACAACTTCCTTATATAGGAGTTCAAGGTAAACGGAAACGAAGGAAAGATGAGAAGAGATGAGCGATCAGGAAAGAGAACAGTGCATGTAACGGAACAGAAGGGAGCGCTCTTGAAAATCAAAGAGATCATCAGGCCATCGAGTACCAAACGTTCGCATTTGATCTCTTTGTACACATATCGTGCTCTGGAGCGCCTACGTGAGAGATTGAA